CATATCTACTCAACCTTGCAGTCCCTTGGACAGAGATGGCAGCCATAAACAGTAAGTGAATGAATGGCCATGGCTATGTTCCAGTGAAACTTTACTTATGAACACCGACATCGGCGTTTTTCACATGTCATGAAATAACCATCTTCTTTTTAGTTTTTACTTCAACCATTCAACAAGGTAAAAACCCTCCTTAGCTAGGCTGCAGGCAGGATTTGGTCCCCAGGCCGTAGTTTGCATTAAAATAGCTGCCACCAGCGGGGAAAGAATCCCTGCTGTAGGAGTGTCTGTCTAGGTCTCTGGCCTCTTTCATTCCAGGGTTAGCAGAGCCTTTACAAGTAGACTTACATACAGGAACTGTGAGCAAGGACACTGTCACTGTCACTGCAGCCCTAAAGCTCATCCAGGGGGCGTCCAGTGTGGCAATCTGCAGCCATCACTGGAGTACTCCTTCAATGTGTACTAATGATATTCTGATGCAGTGAATTTGGATCTCACTGATCTTGTCCGAGGCTGTTTCAGTCTCCACTTGACATGAGGCGACTGCAGGCACTGTCACCTGCAGAATCCTTACACACCATGGAGGAACTCAGAAATGGCAGCGTGACTTGCTTCAAAAGAAGGCACACGCACATAAAGCCTCCATTTTGCAGGAGACAAGATGAAGTCCGCATGAGCAGAAAAACAAAAACCAAAAGAAATGATCTGATGTCTGAGACATTCTTCAAAATATTCAGTGTGGGGAGTAGGGAGGGTAGGGATGAAACAAGATTGGGCCATGACTCATTATTTGTTTAAGCTGTATGATAGATACAAGGAGGCTCATTAAAATATTTTCTCTACTTTTGTATATTTCAAATTGTCCATAAGACACAGCTGGAGAGAAGAGACATAAGGGAAACTCAAGAGAAAAACAGAAATGCTCTTTACTTCAGGGAGAGGGGTTTTATGGCTATAATGCAGTTACTGTAACAGTACTTCACATAAACACCTATTTGTTTTCAGTTAACTATGAACAACTTTTTTTTTTTTCTGGGAAAGAAAAAGGTGGTATTGTTATGTTGACTCGGACTATGTTGATTGAAGTGGGCCTCCCTAGTCTTTTTTTTTTTTTTTTAAATCTAGCTGCCTGTAGGTGCCAACCAACCTCTTTTGCATCTTGCCTGGGCTCAATTATGTCCCTGTTATTATAACAGGGAAATCACCTGTCATCAAGTGTGGATATCACCCTGGGTTGCCATCTTACTCCCTTAGCCTAAATATCAGAGATAAGAGAGGTGGTGTCCTGTCTGCACCCTTTCTGGAAAGTGTAAATGGAGTGCTAAACTCAGGAGACAGCAACAGGAAGTGCTGAAAGACAGCCTCTGGCCTCCCCTGGGGCCATAAAGCACACCTCCCCACAGAATAGATACCTTTTTTTTAAGAGTCACGACACAATGGATAATTGGTCACTTAAATCTTTCATGCTTGAGTGACTCAGTTCAATCTTCTTGGTAGCCCAATTAAGTCACATATTGGCCAAATGTTTACTGAGCACAATCAGTGTGCAGGAGCTGACTATACCTTGACCAATAATGCCCCTGTCCCCTAGGAACCCACACTCTAATGAAAGAGTCATCACATAATACTTACTTTCCAATAGTGATAGATTGCTTGGAGGAATGAAAAATACAGAGTACTTTGATACTGTACAACAGGTGGGCTTAAGAGAAGTTGGGGATGGCATCCCAAAGAAAATGTCACTTTTCCAATTCCACAGTTAACTCCCAAATGACACCATATATATTTTTTTAATTTGATGTGAAATTAAGGCGTTTAATGTTTTCAGTTTTTAAGGCTCCCTGTATGTTCATACACTAACATGGAAACCTTAATCAGCTACCTATACCAATTAATTTCATCTAAACATTATTTCGTTAAATCTAGAATTTCAACATCACCTTTGGAAAAAAAGGTAATTTGTCTTCTAAGTTTAGTCATTTGAAAAAAGTCAGATGTATTATCAATCTTCTCCCACCAAAATCAACTGTACTGTCAATTAATATAAATTACAAAAGAAAATAAACAAGGCAATAAAAATATGATGGAGATGAAAACCAGGTTGACCTCTAAAAGATAACTGAAATTTTATCTTAACATTTGCCTATCTGTGCTAATAGAAAAAAGAGGGATGATAAATTAGTTGAACCACAGATAATCTCACTTCTATCTAAATCAATAATGACAAGCGCCCTCACATTACCTCTTGGGTAGTCTTGTCATGAGGGAATTGGCCAAAATAAGCTACAAGAGGAGAAACTGAGAAAAAAAGACAGAGATCCTTGCTTAGCAGTTTTGAATTTTGAGGGTAGAGATATGTGAAGGATTCCTGAGAATCCAAGAGAAGCTGTGGACACTTGTCCTAGAAAGTGGACATAGATACTATTTTGCGTACAATTTCAGAGGAACTATGATCCCCTGAAGCCCATTCAAATCCCAGATTAAGAACCCCTGATCTAGATAAATATCAGATTAGGAAACCAGGTCTCAGATTATCAGCAGTTGAAATGAATTAGTACGGACTGAGTCATTTTCCACACGTTATCTAATTTCAACCCCTACAACCACCTTCGGAAATAGCTATCACCATCTCCCTTTACAAAGAGGGAAAGCTAGGTTCTGAGAGGTGAAATAACTAACGCAAGGTTAGGTGATCTTCTCTCACACCCAGGTTTCTAACTCCAGGTCCTCAAGTGGAGGAGAATTCAAGTCTGGCCCATATTCCTAGACACCTTCCAAGATGGGGAGTTTCTGACTTCTAGTGCTTCATTCATATGATCCCTCTATCCACATATTTCTCCTCAATTTAACTTCATTGACGAGAGGAATCAGTACAGATTTAATTCGAAAACACCTTTTCTTGGTAGAAAATAACCTTAACCAAAGACAAAGGATAACTGTCTAATAATTTTTCATAATAGTTATTTTCATTTCTTAAGCACCTGACATGAGCTGTTTGTTAGAAAAGCAAAGGCCCACTGCGTGTGTGCTGAACAACCTCACGCTTAGATTTTTAAAATGTCCCGGAAAATCCACAAAGTCACAAATGAATCAAGAGCTGACTGAATTAAAAACTTGAGTTTCTACTCAAAACAGCCAAGCAGAGTTTCAGATGACCTGGCCGCTTCGGTATCCTCTGAATGGTTAGCGCAGCTTAAAAAATAAAAAAGATACCACTAACAATCACTAATAATTTGACAGGTCAGAAGCACACAAAACCAAATCTATGACCCCTTTGTACCTCAAGACAGTGGTTAAGAGGTCTTAGATTTTCATGCTAAAACCTACTGATGAATATGTCCCAGCAAAAAAAACAATAAACATAGCAAAAATGGGGTCCAAGTCACTAAATATGATTGGGTCTCCATCCACACCAAGTTACCCAGGGAAACACTAATTAACTTACTCAACCTCTACAGGGGAATTACCAATAATCAGCACCCTGTTTTAACACAGATTTAGAAACCCTTTATGGGAAATGTATCCACACCCAGAGAATGAAAACTAAGAACAAGAACGGGTCAGGTCCTCTAAAGCTCTACTCCAACTGCTTCCTCTGAGAGTTGCCACCTAGTGATTTCAATTTTTTAAGCCCAGGCGGGCTGCCAATTCAACGCTAAAACCGGACTAACAACTGATTTTTCCTATTGCAACATCGCCAGCAAGTCCTGTGCTTTCCCTCTCTTTCCTTTGCTCTCAAATAGCAATTCTCATTTTCAAAATCAACTAATTTGCTCTATAATCTGTTCCAACTGGAAGCTCTCAGAGAGCTGCCACTGGTATTACTCTTCCTCTTAGTGCCAAGAAGCCAACAAGTGGCCAATTCAAAAAACCAAAACAGCAAACGTGAAAAGACAGCCACTAAAAACAAGAAGTAAATGCGGAGACAGAGTAACAACGAGCCAACTCTGAACTTTAAAATGTTCCACTTGCCAAAGTTCTACCTATTCTTGGGCCCTGGAGAATAACTATGCCAAAGTAAGTGGCTACACATGAGAAATAAAATTGCATTAGGGAACAGAAACTCAGTATTTTGGATGCCAAACCTCACTCAAGGCCTTGTCCTTACTATCACTGAAAGAATAACTTGAACTGAACCTAAAGCTGACTGGTCTCCGGAAGGCCTTTCTGACCAGTGTGCCCAGGCCTGGCACAGGAATCGGACAGTTAAGGGGACTATTCAAAGAAAAAGAAAATCTGAAGGAAAAGTCTGACAGTTTCTAGATACCAGACCTGACTTTCATTTGCAGTCACACCTTTAGCTACAGGTATTTCCCTAGAGTATCCTTCTACCGAACAGTTTTAATAGAAATTGGCCAATAATTAGTCTCTGATTTCACTAAGGACAGTAAAGGCTTGTCTCACCATACCAATTCTGGTCACCCAGCGGGCCCCCCTCCCCATCTAGGCAGCTCACAAAAATATCTGACCAACTTCTCCTCCGTTCTGATGATCCTTTTGATGAACCTTTGTAATTTAAGTCTCGTAGAAATAAGGCTGCACAGGTAAAGCGTCATCTTTTTTAAAGTTCAAAATTCAGTTTGACCGCCAGTAGAAAATTTGAGGTGGCAAGGTTCCCTTTCCAGAGCCCCTTAAAACATCCGTGGACATGCTTTCGGAAGCTGCGAATTCCTTCCTCCACTCACGTTTCTCCGTAAGGAGGTCAGACTGAAGGGATCTGAGTTAGACTCACTGCCGGTCCCCCAGCGCTCATCATTGAACCACGCCGCTCATGCTGCACCACGCCAGGCCTCCAGTGAAGGGTTCCAGGACGCTCCCCATGACAGGAAGCCCCCGGAAACCAGATTTTCCAAACGCTCCATCCTCCCCCTTATTCCTCCTCTGGCAGCATCCTCGCGTGGAGGGAGGAGTGGGTAACGTGGGCTAAAGTTCCCCGCCCCGGTGAAGCCAGCAAGGAAACTTCCCTGGGGCTTGCACAAACTCCTTCAGGGGGCTGAACTCACCTTCGCGACAGAGCCCCATGACTTCTCGGTTTTTCCCAAACTCCTTGAAACTTTCGTCCAATTCCGTCCCTAGGAGACACACACACACAGGAGGAGGGGAGAGGCAGGTCAGTGGCCGGGAGTGTGACGCACGCTCACGCACGCACGGAGAAGGTGCGGGCACCTCCGCGTTCCCCGACCAAGCGATAGCATCTCTGACCCACCGAGGGGGAGGGTCACAGGACGGGGGGAGGGGAGGAGAAGGCAAAGAGGATGGGGAGCGCTGGGGGGGGGGGGCGTGGGGAGGCGGGGGGCGTGGACACTCACCGTCCTTCCCAGGAAGTTTGGAAGCCTCGACCCACAGATTCCACGACTGCCCCAGCATCGCTTCGGGACTGGGCAGGGGCCTGCGCTCTCCGACGGTCGCCATTGCGGTGGCGGCCGAGGTGGAGGCGGCGCCGGGGCCACTGTCCTCCGGCCGTAGGCGCCGTGGCGGCTGCTGCCGCTGGGGCTGCTGCGGCGGCGGCGGCTGCTGCTGCTGGGGCTGCTGCTGCCGGGCGGCCGCGGCCGCCGCTCCGCCCGCCGCCGCCGCTCGGCGCGGCTCCCCCCTGACGTCATCCGCGGCCCGCTCCGACATTCTTTCCGCTCCTACAATGTAACAAAAAAAGGGGGAAAAGAGTCGCGCGGGGGCCGCTTTTAAGGAGGCGCCGGGGAGTTCCGGCGGCGTGCGCGGCCCGCGGGCCGGGTGGGGCGCGCTGACAGCGCCCCCCGGCCGCCCAGCCCCCCAGCCCGCGTCCTCGCGGCCACCCCCCGCCCCGGGAGTAAAGTCCGCGGCACCGGCTCGCTTTCGCTTTCGACTCCGGCAGCCCCTCGGGGGAGGGGACGGGCCGCCGGCGGCCCGCCACGGCGGCGCAGGGTTCCCTGCCTGCTCCACCGCGGAGACCCGGCACAGAGACCGGCGCCCACAGCTACCCCCACCCCAACCCGGCGCCCCACCACGGCGGCCCGTGGCAGAGAGGCCCGAGACGCACCCCTGGCCCTCGGGCTGCCCACCCTGAGGCGGCTCGCATCCCCGGGCCAGGCCCGGCGGCCTCGCTCCTTCCTTCCGTCCGCGCGTCCGTCCGAGCGGCGGCGCCCGGCCGGCTCCCTTAAGCAGAGGCGCCTCCCGCCGCCTCCTCCCCCTCGCCGGTCCCTCCCTCTCAGCTCGCTCCGGCGAAGTTTGCTCGTCAAGCCCCCGGAGTGGAGCCAGGGCGAAGTCGGAAACGCAGCCGGCTATGGAGGAGCCGGCCGGCTGGCCCTGAGACACCTTCGAGTGTCGTCGCCGTCGGGCCCTCCCGCCCCGGGGTCGGTTCAGGGAGCGCTTCGCTCTCCGCTCGCAGGCGGCCGCGTAGCTGTCAAAAGCATGAATGGGAAGCCGCCGCCGAGCGGACGCCTAGCGTGGAGGAAACCGCGGGCAGGCGAGGAAACGCGGCCCAGGTGCCCGCCCAGGTGTCAGCTCGAAGCCGGGTTTCACCCGGTGCCCCCCACTGGAGGTCACGGCGTGCTCCCGGGGGACGTGAACTTCTTGTCCAGCAAAGAGGAGACCATGAAATCAGTGTAAGATGGAGTGCAGGAAAGATAAGGAGGCGAATCCGTTTACATGTTTTGGAGACACTATCCCAAATTTCTCTATTTCCCCTTCCACTGCTGCTGCAAGTGATTCATTCGGACCGAAAATAAAAAGAAAATCTTGTCATTTAAAAACCTGGTTCATTTTTAACTCCAGTTGTTAGTCTCTCCCTCTTTCTGGTTATCTTTGCTTGGGCACGGCGAGAACCCAAGGATTAGGAGAATGTACAGCATTCCTAGAAAATGTGTTTAGAAAATAGTTTTTTTCAGATTTTGTTCACTAAATTAAGCATTGGCCCATAAAATTTAGCACCCCTCCCCAACACACACATACACTGCGTGCAAAGCTTTTGCTTAAGTGACAGGTAAAGATGGTAAAGTAAAGGTTACTTAATGAACTAAAGCATGCCAAGTACTTGAAACAGTACCAGACCACACTAAGCACTTTCCATAAATGTTGGTATTATTGGTTATTTCAAACTGATGTGAAAATCTGAAGCCTGAGACAGAAACAATGATTTCAATCATCATGTTTCACATGGTAGTAATATCGGCACTCCTGTGGCACGTGTGTCATAGCTGCTTGCTTACATGGAGTGCTTTCTCCAGGTGGGGAGGAAGTGGGTTTATTCATGTTTTTTATCTAGAACATCTGGTGTGACAGAGGTGACCAAGTTCTCTGCTAAAGAAACAAAGTCCGATTTACAGAAACATAAACATGTTTAAATAAGAGGAAAAATTAATAAGGAAATGTTACTGCAACCTAAACTTAATGCACGGCTCTTGTAGAAAGGGTTTGTTTTAGGTTCAAAATTTAAAATCTTTAGAAAAAAATACATGCTATATTAATTTTTTATTTTAAAAAGATTCAGAAATAAGTGCGCACAGTTTTTTCCTGGATTGCATGCAAACATTAAGTGTTTAAGTTCACATTAAACAAAAAGCGAAACTATGGATGCTTCCTGTCCTTATCTAAGAAGTAATAAAAACAAAATAACCAAAAATAGTAGAAATGATTGGAAGGATAAAAAACAAATCATTCATAAAACTTTAACTTCCTACATAAGAGTATCAATGAGAAAAATGCATGAGTAAAATATATAATTCCCTTGGTTAACAGTAGGGTTCCTAACTCTGAACATAGGCCCTCAATCTTGGATGAACCCAAAGCAGACTTTCAATTTTTCATTCATTCCAAATAACTGAAAAATCTGTAGGATTACATAACAACATCCAACTTCTCTGTTTTCCTAGATTAAAGTACACAATTTATCAATTACTTTGAATTTTGTAACTCTACATGTAAGATAAATAAAAATTTGAATCTTAATGGCATTTGGAGCTGCCATTAAAAAGCATAGCTCAAGGGCGACCGAGCGCTATTTAGATACCAAAGGCAGCCTGCCTATTGAGTGCAGCTCTCCAGATCCCTGAGAGTACAGGGTGAGAAGGAAAATAAGGGGAAGAATGGCAAATGTGAGGTACAGTCCCACTTCCTCACGATGTTGCTTGATTTCCCCCTTTTTACATGTGAAAATACTTCAAGATTCACTAATTACTTTTAGCCAGTGGGGGTCAACATGGCAATTTATAATACTTCAACTTCTGTCCTTATTCCTGCTTGATACTTTTTTTCCTTCCAAAGTTTTGATTGGTTTAATAAGAAAACACAACAGGGCTTAAAATGCCATATCTTCTTGGCATTATGATAGTTATTAAGAGAAATTATTACTGATAGCAGCTGTCAATTATTGAGCACCTACTAGATGCCAAGCATTGCCTGAGGTAGCTTGCTGCATTATCTCAATTAATATTCACAGGTGTGTGTGTAAGGCAGAAGTTGTATTACTTACAATTTACAGATAAGGAAAATGAGCGAGGGCTCTGGAGTCAGTCCCTATGAATTCTTTCTGGGTTCATATACCAGCTCTTCCACTTACAAGCTGTGTAAACTGAGCTAGTTATAACTTCTCTGTACCTCAGTTTCCTAATCTGTAAAACAGAGATAAAGCCAGGCTTCTTCTGAGGATTACATGACAAGATCCATAGAAAGCACTTGATACAAATCTTAACACAAAATAAACATTATAGTACGTGTCTTATGTCAAACTGAGCAATTCAGATCAAATCTTATCTGGGAAATGTATCACCAAGTTCAAGAAGATGTGGGAACCAACAGAATGACAAGCAATACCTGGCATCACCTCATCAATTCTCTTGTGCTGTAGCCAATGCATTTTACCACCCTCTCTTCACCCATAAGGAAGTCCTAACCCCTTGTAGAGCAGGCAGTTTGTGATACCCATAGTTGGTGTGGGTTTCCCAATAGTTCGAATGAGTCATCAACAAAAGTCAAAACTGCTAGCTGAGAAAGTACAGTGTTTTGATACTCAAATTTGGGCAACATTTTAAAAGTATTCCTTATACAAAGGGCACTCTGTAGAGGCAGAAAGTCAAATACTCAATTTTACCTACCAGGCCATAATAAAGAACCTGATGACTTCTTACCTAAATACCCCTCCTCTACACCCAAAAAATATAAAAAGAAAATGACCAATACAATTTATATTGAATTAATATAATTAGTTTAATATAGTAGTGTGTCTTGTATGCTATCAATCAGTTCTCTTGCCAGCGTACTTCTGATGATATCTTTTAGCTGAGGATCTTCAGTATCTGTCTGCACAGATAACTGATATGTTTTATAAAGTTTAAGTAATGAGGAGTCAATTTATCAAATAGTTTCTGATTGCCTACCACACACCAGGCACTCTGCTAGGCACCAGGATGAACAAAAACAGCAATTTCACTGAGGACATGGGAAGAGTAAGAAGTAGGGGAAAATTTAATTCATCAAAATGCTCTTATGGAAAAAGCTGTCACCACCAATTAGATTGTATGTGGATTAAGAACTAGGCCGTCAGAAGTGAAACGCTGCCAAATTCTGAGCATTTCATCCCTTCCAGGGATGTATTTAAAATATGGCCTTACTTCACCATCCAAATTTAGGGATGTTCCCGATAGGTGCCAAGGGTAACAAGGTCTCTCTTTACAAAAAGGATTCTTTGCACAGCAGATTCACTTGTAAAATGTTTTGTTCAAAGGCCAAAGGCATCACTACGTGAAAACAAAACAAAACAAAAAAAGGTCGATCTTTCCAGTCTGTAAATCCAATTTAACGTAAAATGGTTGAAACTGTCCAAAACTTTTCTAAGATTTAAGACCCCACATAACCAGCCTTTTTATTTGGAAAAAACCACCAGTCCCAATACAAAACTTAAAAAACTTGAAAACCAGCAACTGCAGTATATTTCTCCGTGCAAATTACAGGCTTGGTAACAGAGATTCTCCATTATCAACCCCAAAGGGCTGCAGTCATTTGAGTAACAAGAAACTCAGATCCACTACATTAGAAATGTGTTGGCTTTAGTTTATTTCCTCCTAAAATTGGCTGAGTCTTTATTCATATTTCTGACTACACCTCTGTCTTTCCTTCTTTCTTCTCCAGATAGACCCAGGGCTCTCTTCTGCATATGGGGTACAGCAGGCAATGCCCCTCAACTGTGCTCCCTCTAGTGAAATCCTTTATAATCTGTCATGAATACATCAGTTTTCCAGTAGGGGGAGAAGAGTGGAAGGAGGAAACTGAATTCATCAGCTTAGTGGCTGGAATTGCTGACAGACAATCAAGTGCAAAATTAGGAATAAAAAGGATAGTTGCAGAAGTAAAGACTTAAAGATGAGGGTAATCATCTTTTTAAAGACTTAACCTGTACTCATATTCATTCTACAAACTCCGTCATTTGCTAAGAAGTTCAAAGCTTTGAAGTTTTGGTTTGTTTTTTTAATTATATGTGTGCAGCTGTGTACAAATTCTCCCAAAGAAATATTCACCAGTAATAGCAAACTGTTTAAAAGAGAGAAAAATTTTAAAATATACATATAAAAGGTAATAAATTATAACTTTAAACTGAATAATGCCCAAATGTTTCTAGGGATTTAATACTGGCCTGTAATTTTAAACTAATGACAAACTTGAT